CTTTCCAGGGCCCCAAAGCTACAACCCAGTTACCTATTTCAGGGACCCCAAACTACAACCCAGTTTAGGGTCTAGGGGTTTCTGTGAAGCAGCCCTAGAAAGAGCCACCAAGAGCCCCGCAGAAGCAGGTTCGGCAGGCCAACCTGGTCAATGGCAGCGTCAGGACACGTTGATTTTTTGACCCAAGAGAACCCACTCCTCCTTAACTACCCATAGGCTCCTAAGTAGTTCCTTTTTATGGTTCATGTTTAGAATCCAAAAAGGTAATCCCCAAAAGGATCTACTGAGGAGCCTATGGGTAGGGAATGTGCCCTAGGTCTTTGGGTTCCTAACACTGCATCTTCCTTTAGAGGCGAAGTATTGGGAGTAACAATTGCATCCTTTGCCCGAGCCCCTCAACTGGAAACTCCCAAGACTCGTGACCCTTATCATCCACTCAGCCCTCAACGCAACCCCCCAAGCCTTAACGACGGCGAGCTGCTTGCCATTTTTGAACGCTACCATAAATATGGCCAACAGTAAGACCTGTAAGCAAATTATCGGGGCACCTTTTATTTACCAGCAAAAAAAGAGTTCCGGGCTAGTGAGCACCATCCTTCCCCTGCAAAATCCGAAGCCTACGCATCAAAAAGCCCGTACGCCCTAACCCAGAGAGCCCAATACCCCTTAATAATTAAGTTAAACCATAATATCAAAGGCCCTATAATTTAAGGTATATTCCTTAATTAAGGGGTACTGGGCTCTTTGGCTAAGAGCCCACGAGGACCATCGTGGGAGACTTGAACCCCGGGAATTGCCTGCCGCCCTTTGAACCCGGGGATGCGCTGCACTCAGAAGGTTTGCTTAAACCCTAAATCCTAAACCCAGGACGCTCCCGGTTTAGGGCTTTTAGGCTGAGGTCAAGCCCGAAGACCCTAAACCCCAAACCCTGGTATAGATTTCAGCGGTTGTTATCCGCGCAAGTTTAGGGTTCAAGGTTATCTGCGCAAGTTTAGGGTTCAAGGTTCAAAGTCCGAGCTGGGTGATGCCAGGGTGACTTGTGGGGCTTCCTAGAATTGCTCCCGCCATAACCAACCTTTCCCTACACCCTGCACCTTCAAAGCAGTCTGAAAAGGCAATCAACAACTCCTAAGCAGTATGGTGAGCCGGCGGCATTATTCTTGTTATGCGTTTTTGTTTTTGCGATCCGTACTCTGCAAGTCGCGACGTGTGTAGCCAAGCTGTTGGCGGTTAGCTTCCCTGGTGGTGTCTCTTGAACCCTAAACCCAAAGCCCTAAACTCTAAGCCTTAAGCCCTAAACCCTAAACCCTAAACCCAAAGCCCTATCCCCTAAACCCTAGACACCCTAAACCCCCTAAACCCTAAACCCCCTAAACCCTAATCCCTAAACCAAAAGCCCTCAAGCCCTAAACCCAAAGCCCTAACCCCTAAACCCTAAGCCCTAAGCCCTAAAAAACCCCAAAGCCCTAAACCCTAAAACCCCAAAGCCCTAAGCCCTAATCCCTAAAACCCTAAAGCCCTAAACGCTAAACCCTAAAATCCCAAAGCCCTAAACCCAAAGCAAAAAAAACAAAACCTAAAGCCCTGAACCCCTAAACTGTGACCCACGCCCTAAACCCCAAACCCTGAACCTTTAGAACAGCCCCGAAGCCGTTGGTTCGAGACTCAACTCCACTGCGCAGCAGACGAATAGAGACGACAGCTCGCAGTAGGGTTTAGAGTTCAGGGAGTTTAGGGTTTAGGGTTTAGGGAGTTTGGGGTCTAGGGTTTAGGGAGTTTGGGGTTTAGGGTGTAGGGTTTAGGCAGTTTGGGGTTTAGGGTTTAGGGAGTTTAGGGTTTAGGGTTCAGGGAGTTTAGGGTTAAGGGTTTAGGGTTGCGGGTCTCTCTCAAAGAGCTGGTGGCCACCCTCGATCCATGCGATGGCAGGACGGACCCAGACCGAGACCCAGGACCCAAGACCCCAAGCCCTCTGCTTTTGGATTGGGCCTTGATAATTAGCATAAGGTTCCGTTAAAGGGGTTAGTATAAGGGTTCTAGAAGGATTGCAGTAAAATATTTCTCATAAGAATTGTAGGGCTTTGAAGCCTACTTGGAGGTTCATGGGTAGTTATAAGCAGGGTTATAAGTAGGGTATATAACTATAGTTATGACCCAAATTGGGGACTTGTAACCCACTTATAACTACCCATGAACTTCCAAGGACAAAGGTTCTCGTTTATCTGAGACCATAACTATCATGCGGAGACCCAAAATAGACCCCTCGACCCCAAAACCCTCAAACCCTAAAACCGTTGGCAGGACAGAGAGGTTTTCTTTCACGATCGGATCTTCCTAGTCGCACACGGGCAGTTTCGCAAGCTCGAATCTCTAAGCCGCGAAGCCCGCAACCCAAATCGGTATAGAACCCTTGTACAACGCCCCCAGAGACTCCACTATCCCTTAGTTAAGGAATATACCTTAAATCTTACTAGGGATCCTATTATAACTTAAGGTATATTCCTTAATTATGGGATATTGGAGTCTCTGGGCCTATGAATCCCTCTTATAACCCCATACAAGACCATTGCGACACCCGTATTCGCAACCCCTACAGGTCCCTTTCAAAAGCCCTATGACCACTTGCCAAAAGCCTTAGAAATCCCTGTCCGTAAACCCATATCATAAATCCCTAAACATCTAAACCCAAAACCCCCTAAGCCCTGAACCCTATACCCACAAATCCCTAAACCCCTAAACCCAAAACCCAAAACCCTAAACCACAAGCCCTCACCCCAACCCCACGAGCCGGATGAAGGAGCTGGGCTGGCTGAAGGCGCCGGCTCCGGGTATGTTTCGATCTGCATCCCCAGCACAGGCGCGGCTGCTACTCTGTGGCAGCACTTGGAGGTTCATGGGTAGTTATAAGTAGGGTTATAAGTCCCTTAGAATGGGTTGTAATTGTAGTTACCCTACTTATAACCCAATGTATAACTACCCATGAACCTCCAAGCAGGGTTCCTTGAAGGGGTTTAGCCATGGATTCCTAAAGGGAAACAGGCACCTAAAGGACCTGGCAATATTTTGCTTGCCCTGATGCAACTCGTGGCCATGCTGCTCCAGGTGATGATGATGATGAGCATCATTATCATGATGATGATGATGATGATACTTCTAGGTCCCTAAATTTTGCTTGAGGAGGCAGGCCGGCGTACTGGTCGGCTTTTCGCGATGCGAGGGGCTTAAGCGCCGCCCACCCATAGTAGGTGGGCGGCCTTGGCCTGGAGTTTAAGGTTTAGTTGGGGTTTAGGGTTTGGGGCTTAGGTTTTGCTGTGTAATAGCACGCAGATCATTCGCCAATTGCAGATCAGCCTATTCCAACCATACTCGATACCAAACCCTAAGCCCTAAATCCTAAACCCAATACTGAACCCTAAACCCTAAACCTTAAACCCCATACCCCAGACTCCTGAATCCCCTACCCATCCCCGTGTTTAGGGTTTGGTGTTTAGGATCCCCAACTCGCGTGGGCCCGAAACCCAGAGCGGAACTGTTTCACGGGTTAGGATTTAGGGTTCCGGGGTTGAGGTTTAGGGTTTAGGATTTCGGGTTTAGGGGTTAAGGTTTAGGGTTTAGAATTTCGGGTTTAGGGGGTAAGGTTTAAGGGTTAAGGTTTCGGGTTTAGGGGTTAACGTTTAGGGTTTAGGGTTTAAGGTTCCCTGCGCGTCTTCGGCTTCCGGTGTGCGGAAAGCTTGAAGGTCCCGAGAAGTCCTGCGGCCTTGTGGTAACAATAGGTGTGAAGCCTGTAGCAAGCTAGTTTGAAACCATCAGAGCTTTGTAGAATGCGTTGAACATGCATACCTTCTTAGAGAACCATACAAGTGCCTTTGCAGAAACGTTGGAATTCTCAGCTGGCAGGTTCTGGCCGGCATGGGCCGCGTGTTTTGCCGAGACAGCTTGGGCTGCTGGACTATCATACGCCTAAACCCTAAACCCCTTTTGTTGGGTGTTATGGGGATGCAGCCTTAACCGGCCCGTTGTCAAAAACCCCACATAGTAAATCCCAACCCTAAGCCCGAAACCCTTGAGCCCAAGCCCTGTAAGCCCTAAACCTTAAACTTAACCTTAAATAAAGCAATGCACCAAAACCCTAGTTTCTGAAGCTCCCAGGTGACGGCGATGCTTATGATTGCACGAAGAAGGTTGACCAGGCAGGCATAAATCGCTCGAAGTGTCTTCGTGCGTAGGCAGGCAGGTGAGTTTTAATTTTAAGTTTAGGGCTCAGGCTTCAGGATTTTGGATGTTTTGGGTATTATATATGTATAACGTATTTATGTACGTATGTATGTATGTATGTATGTATGTATGTACGTATGTATGTATCTATATATCTACTCGCTACCTCCCTATGTATCTATGTAGGTATGTGCGTATGTATGTAAATATGTATGTGAGTGTGCAAGCATCGCATATGTGTACCTACGTATGTAGGTATGTATGAATCCATCCTCTTGTGCATCGCACGCTCTCGGTCTGGTTTGGGGGCTAAGATGTTCACCCCAAGCCGTGCGTCTGAAGAGCACGCTACAGCAAAACGGCCTAGCGACCCGAAGCCCTGAACCCTAAACCCCAAAACCCCAAACCCCAAAACCCCTAAACCCCTAAATCCCTAAACCCCTAAACCCCTAAACCTCCTAAACCCCTAAACCCCTAGCCCCTAAACCCCTAAACCCTAAGACCAAGCTCCACTCCGGTGAGGTGGATACTCCAATATCCCTCAATTAAGGAATATACCTTACATCATAATAGGAACCCCTAATGAGATTTAAGGTATATTCCTTAATTAAGGAATATTGGAGTCTCTGGGGAGGTGGATGTGTTCATCAGCCACTCATGGAGTGCTGGGCGCTGGGGCAAGACCTTAGCGGTGTGCTTCCATCTGAACCCTGGAGTGTTTAGGGGTTGAGGGTTTAGGGTTTAGGGGTTTAGGGTTTAGGGTTTTAGGGGTTGAGGGTTTACATTTACGGGTTAGGGGTTTAGGGTTTAGGGTTTAGGGGTTTTAGGGGTTGAGGGTTTAGACTTTAGGGAGTGCCATACTTAATACTGTTTGTTGGACCTGTTCCTTACAGGAACCCAGAGAGCCCAATACCCCTCAATTAAGGAATATACAGTAAATTATAGGGGCCTTAACATTATGATTGAAGGTATATATTCCTTAATCAAGGGGTATTGGGCTCTCTGGGAAGCACTATGAAGTAGCAACAGTCTAGGAATGGATGTGTTGCAGTGAAATCCGCTTTGGCTGCAGCAGCTGCTGGGCCTTTGTGCCTCGCAGCTACTGGCGATGTTAACAACCTCGTGAGCGACCCCTACCTCTTCCTCTTGGCAGTGGACTTGCCAGTGCTGGTATTCTTTCTCAGCTTCTTCTTCGCTCATGTGTGCAGCTGCCGATGCGCTTCGCCAACTATGTGGATCGATTCGTTGTGCATCCCACAGACGAGCGAGGCTGTGAAACAGGAGGCAATCTCAATGCTTCCTGCATTTGTAAAGTGCTCATCGGAGATGCTCATCTTGTGGGACAACACCTACTGCGATCGCTTGTGGTGTTGCATGGAGATGTCCTTATTCCTGAAGAAGGGTGACCTCTCCAAGCTTCATATTGTACCTGTGTGGCTAGCGCCATGGCTTCTTTGTACGATGTTCCTGGATTGGCTCTGCACGCGGCTCACATTGCCTCTAGTCTTTTTTCTCTACACCGGCGGACAGGACGGAGATCAGGCATCTGTTTCCCGTTGGGGCGTTCTTGCAGCGTTTCTACAGCTCTGGGGTCTCTTTCTAGTTGCATACCTACCGGCACTTCTTCCAGCACTTGTATCTGGGTGTTCCTTAGGAATCAACTGTTTCCATGATTTCATTTCGATGTAAGCCCGAGGGATCATTCAACATGTTTCATTTTGGGTCAAAGGGGGGGGCTTGCAGGTATCCTTCGTCGCAAAGATCGAGCAGCACCAAGCCATGCTGAAGCAGTTGCAGGCTTTTGACATTCGTTGTGCCAAGTGCAGCGTTGAGGAGGATCGCACCGTGCTGGAGGGCATCGTTGCCCGGGTGTATGATGGGATCGACGACGCCCCGATCAGTGTGGCTTTCAGTGCAGATGAGTTCCCGACGTCCTTCACTGACCCTGCATCTCTTCTTTTGCCCGGGGAGGCAGAAGTCCTCCGAGATGATGCAGTCCGGAGAGTCACAAGCTATCCCGACTTTGAGGAGTGCCTGGAGATCTTCAATGAGCAGGTGCGACACCAACTTCTCAGCGAACTGAGGAGAGATATGGGAGAGGTGACTCACCTCCCGCTGAAGATGTGCATGCTGGCTATGCTCCCTACGTTTCTCTTCTCGATTGCAACGACCTTCTTGGCGTGTGATGGGCTGCCCTGCGATGTTGCTCCAAAAGAACAAGGCTTCCAGTCTCGACTGCAAATGTGGACTTATGATGCCTTGGGCCTATGCCTGATCACATGGCCTGGCTTTCAGAGCATGTTCCCCCTATTGTTGAGAGTTCTGGGGTCGGCGTTGTCGAGTGAGGCCGGGTTTCAGCCCCTCAATGCGGGCTCTTGCGTCATGGTTTGGCTGAGTGGCTTGGGTCTCTACATGTACCTCTTTCTCCTGATGGGTCTCGCAAACGCCCTTCTGATGATCACCGTGACAAGACCGCCATCTTTACCGTGGTTGGCTGGGTTTGGTGCCACCGCGCCTGGGTCCGTTTCAGGGATTTCCCTCTTATGCCTCTTCTGGAGTTTAAGGGTTACGGTTTCAGGATTGAGGGCTCAGGCGTAGGGTTTAGGGTATTTAAAGCGGGAGCCCATGAACCAAAGCCCTTTTTCTTCAAAGATCCAGGTGCTGTTGCTGGTGTTCCAGTACTCGGCTTGCTTTGTGGGCAGCAGTTTCGATTTTCGCCGCTTCTCCTGTCGATGCATCTGCAGGACTCAGAATGATGATTCGTGCTGAGAGCAGCGTTCATTAGCAGAGCTTCTTGCCAGCTTCCCTAAACCCAAAACCCTCTTGATTCGATAAGCCCGGAAAGAGAAAGCCACAAACACGCCAAGGCCGAGGGTGCACAGGGAGGCACGCTTGGACTAGGGTTTAGGGCTTCTATTTGTTCTTGTATCTTGTCTTCCTAGACAGTTCCCTCCCAACACCGTGCACTACACATTTTGTTTACTCAAACCTTAAACCCTCAACCTGAAACCCTACAGACACTAATATATACTTAAATACGTACGCCGAACTTAGGGGGACAACTCAAGAAGGGACCCCCTGCTCCATCATGGCATTCGATATTGCACTAGTGTCGAAAGAAGGTAGCTCCGGTTGCGGATCCCTGACAAGGGGTTTAGGGGTTAGGGTTTAGAGTTTAGGGTTTAGGGTTTGGTGATTGGAATTGAAAGCCATCTATTTTGTAAGGTCTCCGATGTGGGATGACTGCAAATCTCCACACCCCTGAACCCTAAACTCTCAACCCCGAACCTACATAGTAGAACACTCCTAATTCCTGTAACATTAAAAGTCATACTCATCGCATTCGTAACTGATGCTTAGTGGCGCAGAATCCGTTTCAAAACTTTCAGAAACTCGGCTGCACATCTCTTCTCGACCAGATTCAAGCGCAAGTTCAAGAACAAAGGCTCTGTTGTGGTTCAGGCAATATATTCGTCGACAAATTGTGGTATATTCCCTCGACCTTGAATCCTAAACCCCAAACCATCTCAAACCCCAAACCCCAAACCCTAAACCCCAAACCCCAAGCCCCAAACTTCAACCCTAAACCCTAAACCTTAAACCCCGAAGCCCAAACCCAGCATTAAAGGGGCCCAGAGACTCCAATATCCCTTAATTAAGGAATATACCTTGAATTAGAATAGGAACCCTAATAAGATTTAAGGCATATTCCTTAAATAAGGGATCTTGGAGAGTCTCTGAGGGTTTTAGGGGGCCTCGGCTTCGTGGCTTCGTGGCTTTGGCCGAGGTCTGCGGCGATGGGGGACCTGGCCTGGATGCCAGGCCAGATCTTTTAGGGTGTATAAGGGGTTTAGTGTTTTAGGGTTTAGAATGTGTAGGGAGTTTAGGGTGTTTAGGGTGTTTAGGGGGTTTAGGGTTTAGGGGGTTTAGGGTTTAGGATTTAGGGTTTAGGGTTTTAGGGTTGAGGGTTTAAGGGTTCAGGGAACTGTTGGGTAATATAGGGGGCCTTAATAATTAGAATAGGGTTCCTTTAAGGGATTACTCTAAGGGCGATTATAAGGGTTCTAGAAGGGTGTAGTATAGGGGCCTTAAAAGTGAGAATAGGTTTTTTTTGGGGTATATGGGTAGTTCTCTAAAGTAGGGTCCCTTTTGGGGTGTCCTTTCTATAAGGGTGCCGTACTATGCATGTATTGAGGACCCAAAAAGGGACCCTGCTTTAGAGAACTACCCACAAAGGGTTTAGGGTTTAGGGTTTCAAGTGGAGAGTTTAGGGTTCAGTGTTTTAGGGTTTTAGGGTTTTAGGGTTTAAAGTGTAGAGTTTAGAGTTCAGGGTTTTAGGGTTTTAGGGGTTTAGGGCTTTAGGGCTTTAGGGTTTAGGGTAAAGCCCCGGAACATCCCCAAGCGCTGAAGTTCTACACTCCCGCATCCCGCAACCCTTATCCCAGAGAGCCCAATACCCCTTAATTAAGGCATATACCTTAAATTATAGGGGCCTCAATATTATGATTTAAGGCATATTCCTTAACTAAGGAATATACCTTAAATTATAGGGGCCTTAACATTTCTGATCTAAGATATATTCCTTCATTACGGGGTAGTGGGCTCTCTGGGATGGTGCGGATGATGGGAGCCCGAAAGGCAACCCTGAAATGAACCTTCCAACAGAACCGCTTCAAACCCCACGATGAGGCTAAACCCCAAAAACCCTAAACCCTGAAACCCTAAGCCCTAAACCTTCAAACCCTAAACTCCCTAAAACCCTAAAGCCCTAAAACCCTAAACCCCAAAACCCTAAACCCTGTAAAAACCTCGAAGATCCCTAAACCCTGTAAACCCTAAAGCCTGTAAACCCTAAACCCTAAACCCTGAAAAGCCTGTAAAAGCCTCGAAGATCCCTTGACTCTGAGGCTCCATGAGCCCATGGGGCTCGCCGTCTGCCGTGGGGAGCTGCTCATCGCGGACTACCGGACCATTGGGGGACTCGGAACTTCTTTTAGGGTCTTTGGGGGTTTAGGTTGTTTAGGGTTTAGGGTTTTTGGAGGGTCTTTGGGGGTTTAGGTTGTTTAGGGTTTAGGGTTTTTGGAGGTTGAGGGTTTAGGGCTTTTAGGGTTTAGGGTTTAGGGTTTAGGGTTGTCAGGGGTTGAGAGGGTTTAGATGTACATGTATGCAATGACATGCATGGAGCCTGCTAGCGGGGGTTGGCATACCGATGGATTGAGTGAGTCTAAACCCCAGCCGTCGAGATTGAACACAGACAACCCTGAAGTCCAACAGCCCCAAAGCTTAAAACTCTGACCGTAAAAGCTTAAATCCCCAAACCCTGAAACCCCAAACCCCCAAATCCCCTTTTCTTTGCAGGAACGCCCGGATACGGGCCTACAACCTAGAGACGGGTTACATCACTGCGAAAGTCGGCTCGGTCCCTGGCTACTCCGGCCGGGGGCTTAAAAGAGAGCCGATCGGAGCCGACTCTTTGGAGTTTGGTGGGTGTGTTTAGAGTTTGGGGTTTAGGGTTAAGGGTGTTCGGTGATTTTTTTGGGCTTGTCAGACATCCGACACCAAAAGCCAAACGTCTGTGAGGTTCAGGGTTTTGGGTCTCAGATTTCAGGGAGTTACCCTAAACCCTAAACTCTAAGCCCTAAACCCTAAACCCTAAACCCTAAACCCTAAGCCCTAAGCCCTAAGCCCCAAGCCCTAAACCGAAGCTTCCGGCCGTGAGCCTCAGGAGACGGTGGGGATCCTACTCAAGCCAGGCCGTGACGGTTTGGGTTTAGGAGTTCAGGGTTTAGGGTTTTGGGTTTAGGGTTTTGGGTTTAGGAGTTCAGGGTTTAGGAGTTCAGGGCTTTAAAGTTTAGGAGTTCAGGGCTGTAAAGTTTAAGAGTTCAGGGGTTTAGGGTTTAGGGTCCAGGGGTTTAGGGGTTTAGGACGGTTTAGGGTTTTAGGGTCCAGGGGTTTAGGGTCTTAGGGTCTTAGGGGTTTAGGGGACTCCGATTGTTGCAAGAAGCAGAACAGCATGAGCCCCCTGGCCTCGAGGGTGTAGGATTATAACATACTATGCTAGAATAGCGTACTATATTATTACCTTAATGTAAAGATACTGTATCACATACTATACAAAACATCAAAAAATGTGCTAAGTTACTATAACTTACTGTCATATAGAATGAAAGAGTATTGGATTTCCGGTTTGAGGCTGCGTCGGCCCGGTTTTCCACCGGTCCGGCTTGCTTTGTGCTGCAAACCCTAAACGCTAGATTCCAAAACGTAAGCCCTGAACCCTAAATTCTAAGCCCTGAACCCTAAAATCTAAACCCAAAACCCTAAACCCTAGATTCTGAACCCTAGACTCTAAACCCTAAGCCCTAAACTCTTTTTTGTGTGTTTCCTGGGAGGCTGAATGGCCCGACAGGAGTGGCCTGCGACTCTTTGCGAGGCCCGGGTTGGCTTTCCTTACAAGTTTCTTTAGGGGTTGCTACTGGGACGGTATAGGGTTTAGGGTTTAGGGGCTACTGGTACGGTTGATGATATAAATCCTGCATTGCCCATAATGGAATACATCCTTGAGGTAATGCAGGTTTTTTATCATCAACAGTATGAGGGTTCTACAAACGGGTTGCTACAAGGACAGGGGTTACACTAATATGGGACTGCGATAGGGGGGTTGCGATAAGGGTTACATAACAGCATGGGATAATACTGCAACTGATTAAGAAGCCCTAGACCCTAAACCCCTAAACCCCTAGACCCTAAACCTCTAAACTCTAAACCCCTAAACCCTAAGCCCTAAACCCTAAACTCCAAACCCCCAGCTTTGGCCCTGTATTAGGGCTCTCTATATGGATCCTAAGACAATTTGGGGGGTTGTAGGGACCTAGGGTTTCCAAAGCAGGTTCCTGCATGAACATGGGTTTAGGATTTAGGGGTTTAGGGTTTATGTCTTAGGGGTTTAGGGGTTAAGGTTAGGGTTTAGGGGGTTCGGGTTTGTTTAGGGGTTTAGGGAGTAGGGGTTTAGGGTTTAGGGTTTAGGATTGAAGCGGGGTTCCTTTAAGGGCTTGCTGCGCGCAGAGGTTTTCTGATGCGTGGTCGAGGATATCTGCCGCGCCTGCACGTGCGCATTGCACGGCTGTCACAAATTGAAGGTTTGATACCTACGCTTTGATCGGACATGTTTTCAAACCGTTGCCCGCTGCTCGCGCAAACCAGGGCCCTAGACCTAAACCCGAAACCCTACACCTTGAACCCTCAACCCTAAACCCCTACACCCTAAGCCCTAAACACTAAAACCCTAAACCCTAAACTGCAGGGGGGTTGGTGCAGAGGGTTTGGAGGCCAGGTGCCTGCCAGCAATGACCCCTGTGCCGAGACTAGCGAAAGGCCGTTGTGCCAAGAATGAAGTCGGGTGGCCTGAGTGTGTTGAATCACGGTTGATGATATAAATCCTGCATTACCCATAATGAGGAATATAGTCCTTAAGGTAATGCAGGATTTATATCATCAGCAGTACTGCAGTTCCTTCGGGTTCGATCATGTAGTTACTGCATGCTACAATATACCTCAAATCCTTATTCGTCGCATCGAAGCCCGCAGCCGCTATAGAG